CATGCGCCCGCGGGGAGGGGGTTGCCCAGGACCGCGGCGCGCGCTGCCATTGGCCGCGATCGCGACGCTCCGCGGTGGTGGGGGGCGGCCGGGCGTCGCGCGCGCCCGTGGTGGGGGGGACGCCGTCGGCTGGGCCGGGCTGGCGGCCCGAGCTGTCCTGAGCCACCGGACTAACTGGGGGGCTTTCGAGGACTTAAAACAAGTAAACCAAACGGTCGTAACAGTGACTGTTCGGGATTCCATTTCAAAACCGCTCTAAGCGCACATTAAGGCCTTCCGCGTCTTGCCGCCGGCCTGTCGTCACTTTTTGTTTTCATTCCTCGTGTTCGTGTTTGTGTGTGTCCGCGCCGGTGCCGCGCTCCCGCCCGCGTGTGATCGTGTCCGCGCCGGCCGAGCCGTCCGAAGAGCCGCGCGCGAGCGTGACATAGACTGTGCAAAGTGCCCCGACACCGAAGGACTTGGATAACCACGGCGGCCGTTCTCCGCCGCGACCAGCGGTAAGGACCGAAAGGAAACACGCGCGCGCGCGTGCAGTTGCACTCGCCGAGCGCGCGTAGTCTGCTCGTGCGTCGTCTGCTGGGCGCGCCCGCGTGGCTGGACATATCGTGCTTGTGTGTGTGGGTGTGTGCGTGTGCATCCCATTCCTTGTGCTTGGGCCTCAGCCTCGGATACAAGTGAGCAGAACATTACTTCGTGTATGTGGACCAAGTCTCCCAAGTGTGTGTGACGTCCCAATGCGGGCAGGAAAATAGATTAAAACTGTGACGACGTTGTGATGCAGGTGTGCAGTGTTGTGACCGTTGTGTCCTGCGTTCAATTATCGTTGTTGTGGAGGGACTAGCGCATAAGCAAAGATATTCCCGTAGCATCTTCAGTCGCTCGGTGGACACCAAATGTGAGACATTCTACCTGTCGTTTCCTAGACCAAAGCATTTTGTGCGCGGGAAAGCTAGGTCACGCGGAGAGCTCGCTTGTAGTTTGTTGTCATTGGACTGGCCGGTATGTGTGTGACAACAGCATTGTCATGAGCAGCTTGCATTTACCGCACAATTTTTGAATCAGCCACGAGCTGTTGTAAAGACTTGACACTATGGATTTTGAAGAGCAAGGAGACAACCGGCAAGGCGTTTCATTGTATGCACGCGCGCGCGCTCCAGAAAAGAGCAAGTGTGCCTAAGCTAAATACTACAACCAGAGAGATAAAAAGAGTCAGCGTAATTTTGTGACACTGTTTGGATGTGTACGTATTCGGATCTAGCCGTACAAATATTTCCCAGGCTGGTGTTTCGTATGTGTGTCTGATAAAGGCGGAGTGATGTCACGGGCGTGGATGCAGAGCGCCCCGTGCCGCGCGCCGGCGCCGAGCCGACGACGGGAAAGTGACAGCGCGATCGTAGCCAGCGGCTTTAAGGGATTACCGTCGATAATCGTATAGGAATTAGTGCCAGATTAACTGGAAGTTCGAGTGGCCATCTAATCTCGATTTTGTCTGTTTGCTCCCGCTTGCCCGGCTGGCACTATTTTTTAAAAGTTTTTCATCACGCGACGTCCCCTGAACGAAACAGTAACAGCGATTTAAATTAAATTCTTTGTTTAATCCTGGGTTCATTTATTCACTTTTGTATTTGAACACCTCCCTCCTAAAAATGTCGGTCCAGAGTGTTTTAAAATTAAGATTTCGAGGTGAGATAATTTTCAAGTCAACATAATTAGATTTTTTTTTCCGGAATGAGTGAAAAGATACTTGCTTTGATTTTCGTAAAGATAGTGTGTCATCGAAGTGGCATTGAATGTCAATTACGTTAAACCAGCCCCAATGTACGCCCGAACTATGACAGTCCTAATGGGAATATTTATTGCTCGATATCGCACCCATCCAGCGCAAATTATTAATATACACAAAAATGAATACCATAATTTTTCCTGTTAATTGCGTGTAAGGTTTGGGCGGCGCCGTTTTAAAGGGTGATGTTGTACCAAAAGAAAGAGAAAGGAAAAATAGAAAATAAAGAAAATGTGGTTCAGGTGGATCGAAATGACTTTGCTCGCGGTAGTGTTGGAACCTCTCCGACCAGGTCAGGTGCCAATCAAACTCGATAGTCGTGGCGCCCCGCCGGCGCCTGGGCGGCCTGGGCCCGCGTGCGCTGGGCTGGCGCCACGCCGCGGTGGTAATCTGGGCCCCGGCCGCCCCGGCGCAGGGCTGCCGCTCGAGTGGAGGCGCCTGGCGTCCTGGCCTGTGGGCCTCTGGGCCTGGCCAGGGTGGCACTGTCGGCCTCTGGTCAGCAGCCGAGGGGTCCGCAAGTACGGTCTGCCGGTGTACACATGTGGTGGGCTTCCTAGTTTTCCCAGGTTTTCCTAAGGTTTTCCCGGTCTTCCCAACTTTTTCTTGGTTTTCCCAATATCTTTGTTTTCTGTGATTTTCTAAAGGCTTCCTCCAGTTTTCTGCGGTTTTTTCGAATTTTCATCGGTCTTCCCTTACATTTTCTGGTCTTCCTTGCAATTTCTAGGTCTTTCCTAAAATTTCTCCGGTCTTCCCTTATATTTTTCGGTTTTCCGTCACATTTGTGGCCTACGATTTTATTGGTCTTCTTCGGTTTTCTTTAGTCTTCCTGGTGGTCTTCCCGGTCTTCCCAGTTTTCCGGGCGGCCAGTGTACGCGCTCGAACCTAGTTGCGGACCCCTCGTCAGCAGCTGCAGCTGTGCTAACGCGGCGTGGCCTATGGCCTGGCCTGCGGTTTGCGCCCCGGCCGCGCCCACGACTGTGCGGCCGGCCCCGGCGCGGGCTCCGGCTCCGAGTGAGCGAGGTGATGTCACTTTGGAGTTTAATGAGACTTTGTTTTTTGTTTGCGTCTCTCTACATAGACAGACTGGATTTTGCTACATGACATCAGAAGAAATAAGACCATGTCAGTACAGGGTGCGGGTGATCTATGCGCCGTCCCTCTTGGCCCTCTTGGTGTTTCTGGTTATACTGAGGTACTGGAATCTTACGTGCTGACGAATTGCATACTCGCACGAGACCGGAAGGCACATCCATGGTGGACGACGGTATAGGCAAGCTTGCCCGCCCGCCTAAATCCGGTTCACTATGACAGAAAAAAAGGGCAGCACAGATATGGATCTTGATTAAATTTATCTGTTTTTGTTCCACCTGGCTTACACTTTTCTGGAGAAATTTCATTTTTTGAAAATGAAGGTGTGATTTTGTCTTGTTGACACGTTTTTCTGTATTGCCCCCACCCCAGTGTTTTGTCGAACCTTCAAGGCTTGTATTCTAACGAACTCCCCTGATGTGTGTCGCCAGGAACCAGGCCGGGCCCGCAGGCCTCGGTGAAGGCCGCGCCGTAAAACCGGCGACATCGTGAGGCCCAGGAGTTCGCCGGCCGCCACCCTGGAGGATGTGGTGAGCGCCTGTGTGGCCCCCGTGGCCCCCGTGTCCTCGCTGTACCCCGGGTCCGGGCTGGGCTCGGGCCTCGGGCTGTCGGGCCACGGCCCGCACGGCCCGCACGCCTCCAGCCCCACCACGTTCAAGGTGGAGGCCCCGGACCCGTACAGCCCCTTCGCGTCGCCGCGCATCAGCGTCAAGCAGTGGGGGCTGGGGGGCGGCGGTGGCGGTGGCGGCGGGCTCGGCGGCGACGTCACCAAGCTGAGCCCCCGCCAAGACATGGAGCCCCTCGACCTGCAGGACCTCGTGTCGGGGGTCTCGGCCTCGCCGACGGCGCACCCCGTCTCCGCCGACAGCCCGCACTCGCACGCGCACCTGGCCTCCCTGGCGCCGCCCTCGGCCTCGGGCCAGGGCGGCCAGGACCAGCTCCTGCACCACCAGCACCATCAGCAGCAGCACCAGCACCACCAGCACCACCACCAGCAGCACCACCACCAGCAGCACGACTACCACTGTCCACCGCTGCTGCCGCACGAACCCCTCGAGAAGCTCAAGTGTGAGTACCAACCAGACGCCCGGAGAGAAATTAATATTATCACCGGTTTGCACCGGCCCCTCCGGCCCCTCCGGCTCGCATTTATCGCCCCTATTTACATTGTGTTTGTGATCTGGTGCGAGGTTTTCTCGGAACAGTCCACCCGGATAAGCCCCCAGACCCCACCCGCCGGGCAAACAGCTTGACGGGGCGGCGGCGCGCCGGCACCGCCTCTGGATACGGACTCTGGCGGCTGCTACCTCTGGCATAAGCCTCTGGAGGCCGCCACCACCTCTGTTGTGCTACTTTTGCACATTGCACCGTAACTGGAGAGGTGTATGTAGGTACTAATGCTTGTCGTTTCGTGAACCCGCAAGGCTGATGCAGGGCACAGAGCAAGGAGAGAAAAGGAAACTTGTTGTCATAATGACACTCTTAAAAATTATGTAAGCTGTAAAAGAGACCATACGGTCCAGTGAGTTCTGAGCGGCAAGTTTTGCCAACCCATCATTTTTGGTTGTGACCACAATGGTCATTGTTGGCCACCCTTAACTTGACCACATCATGTCGTTTTCAGCTTTACATTTTTCTTGGGTTTGCCGGGGATGATGATGGTTAGGCGCGAGAGAGCTGGATATGTTTTGTGATCCCTTCCGCTGTCCTGCCCGGCTGCAACACGTGCGTCGTGACGCGGGGCTGTGCAGTGCGTGACATTCGCTTCATTTCGCAGCGCCGGAAGGCATCGCCGCCCCCGCGGCGCGCCTCCGTGCGCCTCCGTATCCGTGCGGTGCGGCGTGTTTTCTGCTCCTTCCCCTTGCTCCTGAGCTGGCCGCCACGCCACGCCCTGGGAAGTCATTCGTTAGGAGGTGCTGACTGATGGGGGATGGGGTGCCCCGGCCCCAGGTCGGACCCGCAGGCTGGGCCCACAAGGCGGTCGTGCCGACCTTTGACACGGCACACTCGGGACAGATTCCCCCTCCCTCGGGTGGTGTTCCGCGCGGCAGCTCGGCGGCACCCAACCCTTCTCCTCCCACTATTTTATTTTTTTCCGGCCCGCCGCCCCTGCGGTGCCCTGCGGCTCCCCTTCCGACTTTTATTCTATTTTACGAGCGACCTCTCGCCGCCTCGTCTCCCTCAAGGCTAATTTCAGCCATTATGCCCATACCACACTGGCGCGCGGAAGGGAGAGTGAGAGAGAAAGAGATGAAGAAATGTGTTTTTCTTGGCAAATGGACCGCGTCGCCCCACCGCCTAGGCCGCCCCGGCCCCCGGCTGCTGCGACCGGTGCACTCCTTAGCGGTGAGAGCGAGCCCTGCTGCAGGGCGGGCTGCAGGGCTGCAGGGCGGGCTGAAGGGTGGGCTGCAGGGCGGGCTGCAGGGAGGGCTGCAGGGCGGGCTGAAAGGCGGGCTGCAGGGCGGGCTGCAGGGCGGCGGCGGCAGGGCAAGCAGCGATGATGTGCAGGTTCATTAGTACTATTAGTGACTAGTACATCGTGCTGCAAGGCAGGCTGCAATGGAGGCTGGAATTCAGACTGCAAGGCAGGCTGCAAGGCACTCTGAAAGGCAGGCTGCCCTGAAGGCGGTGCACAATCCGATCTGCTTTGCGTCGGAAACGTAAACAACGCACTGATATCAGTAGTACCGTAGCAACAAGTGGCGCGGGCATATGAGAAACTGTTGTGTCTTTGACCCTCTCGCCTTTAGAGGGCTGTCAAAGAGTGAGGGACGTCGGCCGAGCCTCATACAGGGGTGAGGATCGAGACAGACAGACAGACAGACGGACGGGGGGACGGAAAGAGAGAGAGAGAACGGTCGAGACAGGCGAGTCATCCGCCGTCTGTCGCGGACACGTCGCGGACACGTCAAACGTCAGCCGCCTCTGATGGGCGTGGCGCGGCGAGGCTGCGGCAATAGCTGGGCTGATCAAGGCGGCGCCTCAAAGCAAGCGGACCGAAAGTTGCGTTCAGCCGAGTGCAGGAGGAGCGATACCCTCCCTTCTCTCTCTCTCCCAGACAGGCCGCTCAATTTTCCGCAAAACTGCGCAATGTCCATCAAGGCCATTGTCATGTCTTGATAGCCCCGCCGCTGGGGGGTCGCGCTGCTGGGCGGTGGGAGTCACCACCACCACCACCACCCCGCGCTGCAACAACACAACTAGTGTCCGACGCGTCCGCCGCCGAGCGGTGACAGTGAGCCGTATGCATGCTGTGCAGGCCACTCTCAAAATGTTTGTGTTGTTCCTCTCGGAGGGCGTGGCGCGGCGCGGCGCGGGCCGGACCTCCCAACCTCCCCGCGACGCTCACGAACAGCGCGCGTCTGGGTCTTGTCCGCGGCCCGGCGGCACGCGCCCACCCCCGCGGGGATGCC